TCATCTCTGTGATGTCATAAGCATTGATTTGCAAAATAATGTTTATTTATGACAAACTGACAACTGCTTATGAAGCACCTCATGGCATTGCCCCTACCAGTCTCAGCTTCCTGCTTCTAATTTATGGGTCGTGTAAAGGTGTTAAGATCAAAGCACACACTGCAAAAGAAAATAAAGAAGCACATCATCTCTGTGATGTCAGAAGCATTGATTTGCAAAATAATGTTTATTTATGACAAACTGACAACTGCTTATGAAGCACCTCATGGCATTGCCCCTACCAGTCTCAGCTTCCTGCTTCTAATTTATGGGTCGTGCAAATGTGTAAAATGATTGACAAGAAAAGAGCTCCTCAAAATGTTCTGACTGGCTAAAAGACAGTACGAATATGTAAGAATATGACAGACATTTTTGTGGCAGATTACAGAATCTAGGGATATCACAGAGAAATTTCAAGACATCTGTAATCCTTCTGGCTTGGCAAGCCTACATTTTTCAAACAGGTTTTAAACAGTGGATGATCTGTTTACTCAACGTGATCTATTTGTTGTGGATATGTTCATAAACAAACCTTTCTTCCAGTGGTGATGTACAAATGATCCAAAGCTGAATTAAAAAAGAGGTTTTTGTTCACCCCTCCATATTCGCGCTCTCCTGGAATACGGTGATAAAATTCAGGTTGGCTGGGGTCAAGATGCACCTGCAAGCAAAATGTTATGAGTAATTATTGGTAATTTACATTCATTCATTTGGCAAATGATTTTATCCAAAGTATCTTACAAATAAACACTGTATTACAGGGAAAGTAAGTTAGAGCAAGTGTTGGGGTTAAGTGCATCACTCAAGTGGTTGTAGCTCATAAATCATCCATTCTTAGGTTTGATCCAACAACCTTTTGGTTACCAGCCCGTAACATCAAGCCTCGAGTTTTTAAGTGAAATTTAAAGAGGAGAGAAACCAGATCCTGGAATGGGACTCACCTTTAAGACATCTGCTCTGCCGGTTCCCAAAAATGCCACAGTGTGCTCGTTCTCCACCGCCACAGCTACAGCTGTCAGCATGTCATTTCGGGTAAAGATGGGTTTGACAGCCAGTGCGTACTCAGGTTTACTGGCTAGTGGAGACGGCAGGAACTCTGCGCCACATTTATATCCCTTCACCATGTTCTTCTGTTGGGTGAAAAGACATACCACATTCAGAAGGGTCACAAAACACCATACAACATGGAAGCAGAGTGGAAGAAACACAACATCTCACATCTCTTTTGGTCTTGCAGATGGCCTCGGTCTTGGAGATGTAGGGTGAATAAACAGTTTTTGGTTTCTCGTTCTCTAGAACTTCCCCTATGTAGCAGGACTCAATCACCTCCTCAAGCCTGGTGTTAATGCTGCTGAGCGGGTACATGCACAAGGCAGAACGGCCACCGTCCTCATCCGCGCTGAACACCGCAAACAGAACCTTATCATTGGGATTCGAAGGGATGATTTTCCTAGCCAAAACTTCTCCTGGTTTGGCCAGATATGCCACTTGGACCTTGTTGTACGTGTTCTCCTGTTGTTCAGTGCTGACAGAGCAGTTGAGCTGAAGTTCGGTGTAAGAATAATAATGATGGTCATTCTCGCACAGGCGTGCTATAAATGTGATCTTCCTGCTGTCACTGGTGCCCGGAGTGCGCGAGAACAAGAAGTATATGTAGCCATTGTCTTTGAAAGCATTGTGAAAGTCGTGGAGGTAACGCTGGACGAAAGGACTAGCTTGCACAGTGGAAGCTTCAACCATGTTCTCAAAGACATCCATTTCTCCGTGCTCCTGCAGCAATCGGGTGCTGATGAGTTTGGAACTGTCCGAGCTACCATAGCCCTTCCCCACTAGAAATACGCTGAGGTTTGCATTAGCATGAGTATCTATAAAATAAGAAATAACTCCCACTACGGTAACAGACTCCTCTGTGCTGGCTACGAATGTCTTCTCAGCTTTAGTGTCACTGTAGTACACCGGTTTGTCCACGCTGCTGAGGTTTACCAAAGAGCAGATGCCCCTGAAAAGGCTTCCACAAACGATCAAAGTGCCGTTGGCGGAGTTAACCAGTAGGAGTTTGTTGATGTTGTCCATTTCCTTTGCATCAGTGCACTGTGCAGTGATTGGTGGAGTGCATTGTGGGTTGTCGTGCCTAGGGCCTGTTACAGCACTGCTCTCCAGCTGTAGTTTATAGTTCAGCTGATAGATGTTATTAATGGCACCCAGGTAAATTCGGCCAGTTTGAGGGTCCTGAACGACACTGTTGATGACAGTATCAGACAAGAAATAATCTTGAGTATCATCACAGCAAGATGAGCCAAAACACAGCAGCAGGGACAACAAAAATGAAATACAAAAATTAGAAGTGCCACACACAGATCTCAAAATCTGGTGTTTTAAACATGCCAAGGGTAACAATCAACTAACAAATTATTTTAATAGAGCATTAAACACATCTTGACATCTACAAGACTATAAGCTACTAAACAGGATGACAAAATCAAGAGCAAAACTGTAAATCTGGTAAAAATGCTTCCATAATCGTTCTTGCCCCACTGCATGCTTGGAAAACATAAATGGTATGCCATTGCCGGAAACTGAATAAGCAAAAGTTGCACTTAGACAGGATGTGCTTGTAAACGGTTTATTAAATTATGTTGCTCACTCAATTTTTTCATTAGGAATTATTCAGAAACTAAGCAGAAATTAAATAAATAAATACATCCTTTTTTTATTATTGTCATTGAACTTGTCATTTAAATTATCATTGAACATAATTCTCTGAAATATTGTTTACATTATTGATATTTAAAATAAAATACATTACGAAATCTATACAGAATCATTCGAATTTTAAATATTGAACATTTTAAAAAGTATTTATTTAAATAATTTTGTGTATATCATTTTTTATTATCATTTATATAACCATTTTTATTAACTTTTCAGTCGACCACTAATTGAAATATTACTATTCTATTCAACTCTGTGTTTTCCAATTTCTCTCTGTTCACCTAGACAGCTTGTTTGGGCATCACACACACCCCTGATGGCCAAAAATGCTGTGTAGGCAGGCAGCTCACAGATTTTGAGATGCAGCCACACTGTAAATAGTCGATCTCTATTTTCTCAGGAGGGTCCGTACATTCATGCCAACATTCCTGTTCAAGTTTGGAAATACGATCCAAGAGCTAGAGAGAGAGAAAGAGAGAGAGCGAGAGAGAGAGAGAGACCATGAGCAGCTGATACACCGCAGCTAAAAATAATATTCCCTGTGAATTACTGTCTCTAACACCAGGCAACGGCATGAAAAGCTACTAAAGCAGAGCAATTATTTCGGTAAGTGATTATTTAATAATTATATATGACTATACTGTATATGCTAGATAAAGAGCATAATAGAGGATAGACAACGTCAGGCTGTCAATAAGCATGTGGGTGGTATACTATAATAATAATAATAACCATGAACAGCAGAGTTTTACACAAAAGTAATGAGTATGAATGAGGAGACTATTGTACTGTAGTCTATTTAATGCACTTGTCATGGGGCTTTACTTTGTAATTAATTTAATTTAACGTCAGCCAGGACTCAATATCCTCCTGAGACACAGCAATTCATTTTTTGATTTCTGTAGCACGTTTTTTGTTAATAATATCAATAAGACCATACATGACTTTGCAACACACACACACACACACACACACACACACACACACACACACACACACAAAGTAGGTTTAATGCTTAATACAATAAAGAAATGCCAATTGGTTAAGATATATATAATGCACTTTTCTCTCTGGCACAGTGTCTTCCTTCAAAGAGTGGCTTTATATTTGGGGCGAAAATGTATTGTGTTTTTTTATAACACATTGCATTTTTTTATAACTGTGAAGTTTTAAGTCCTGGAGTATCTTAAAGTTGCACTAAGTAAATGTAATAAAATTATGGCATGAAGACCCCAGTCATATCAGTAGCCTAATATAAGCTGTTTTATTTTACATGGAGGGCTGCCCCATGAGGGCCGACATGTTGTGATCACGTGACCAGCCAAACACAGTCTACTTTACTGGTAGTCCTTTTTTTCATTGGACATTTTGGTTGGGAATAAATGATTTAATATTTAATAGGCTTTCACAGCATTATATGCTAATAATATTAGCAGTTCTAACCAAAACCTTTCTTTACATGCACATATTTTTGGATAACAGTTTTTGCCAAATGAATAAATGTAAATGTAAACTTTGTTTTTCTGCCAATATAGTAATAAGTATATGTGATATCATGATTATATAACCAGGGTTATTATAGTTAACTAAAACTAAAACCATCAAACTATTTTTGTTACTTGAAATAAAATTAAAAAAATAATAAACACCTGAGGATACACAGCATGCAAGCTTCAGTCTACCAGAGTATATTCTGCACAAGCAAACATTACTGTCCGTTGTGATGTTGTAGAATGCAGCTATCCTGTATGAGAAATTAAACTTTGGTAAACTGGTAAATGAATTGGCTGAGAGGGTGCAGGCACTGTCCCTAGAGAGGGTTTGTTAATCTTGCTCTTACACTGATTGTCAGCAGAGGATCAATGTAGTTAAATACTTTGCCGGACCTCATAGTCAATAATGATTACAGGAATACTGCTTTCAGTGCTGTTAGTTTGGGCTCAAAGCTGGCATTCAGTGTGTAATCAAGTGCAATTTTTTAGATTACATTTACCTGCATTGAATGCTTTATATTCAAATCTAACGTCAAACATCGTTTTTTTAACCATGCCCAGGCTCCTTTAGCCCAGTCAGGTGACATGGCCTTGTCTTTCTGTGGGAACGACAGAGGTAGTAAGGCCTACAGCGTGGACAAAGGAGTCCTGGACAATGGCTGCTTCGTGGATGCCCTCAACCTCGTCCCTCATGTATTTGTGCTTTGCTGGGTCACCTGAGGATACACAGCATGCAAGCTTCAGTCTACCAGAGTATATTCTGCACAAGCAAACATTACTGTCCGTTGTGATGTTGTATAATGCAGCTATCCTGTATGAGAAATTAAACTTTGGTAAACTGGGAAATGAATTGGCTGAGAGGGTGCAGGCACTGTCCCTAGAGAGGGTTTGTTAATCTTGCTCTTACACTGATTGTCAGCAGAGGATCAATGTAGTTAAATACTTTGCCGGACCTCATAGTCAATAATAATTACAGGAATATTGCTTTCAGTGCTGTTAGTTTGGGCTCAAAGCTGGCATTCAGTGTGTAATCAAGTGCAATTTTTTCGATTACATTTACCTGCATTGAATGCTTTATATTCAAATCTAACGTCAAACATCGTTTTTTTAACCATGCCCAGGCTCCTTTAGCCCAGTCAGGTGACATGGCCTTGTCTTTCTGTGGGAACGACAGAGGTAGTAAGGCCTACAGTGTGGACAAAGGAGTCCTGGACAATGGCTGCTTCGTGGATGCCCTCAACCTCGTCCCTCATGTATTTCTTCTCTTCATCACCTTCCCTATCCTCTTCATTGGTGTGAATGCCCTTATCTTCTTTTCCCTCTTAAACAATCATGCACGTTTTGCAGTTGGTTACAGAGTTGTGATCCATTCAGAATATAACAGACTGCCTTTTAATTGAGAACTCTAATTTTATTTTATTGGTTTATTGGATTACAAGATAATAGGTGTGGTTAGACAGGAAATAAAATGTGTATTATGTTATATTATATTATATTATATTATATATTGAGAAATCTTATTTTATTTTTTGTTTAAATTTTTTATATTATTTATTATTTAATTTATTTATTTACTTATTTCTTTTTTGTTTTAATTAGTTATATTATTCATTATTTTATTTATTTATAATTACAGGAATATTGCTTTCAGTGCTGTTAGTTTGGGCTCAAAGCTGGCATTCAGTGTGTAATCAAGTGCAATTTTTTCGATTACATTTACCTGCATTGAATGCTTTATATTCAAATCTAACGTCAAACATCGTTTTTTTAACCATGCCCAGGCTCCTTTAGCCCAGTCAGGTGACATGGCCTTGTCTTTCTGTGGGAACGACAGAGGTAGTAAGGCCTACAGTGTGGACAAAGGAGTCCTGGACAATGGCTGCTTCGTGGATGCCCTCAACCTCGTCCCTCATGTATTTCTTCTCTTCATCACCTTCCCTATCCTCTTCATTGGTGTGAATGCCCTTATCTTCTTTTCCCTCTTAAACAATCATGCACGTTTTGCAGTTGGTTACAGAGTTGTGATCCATTCAGAATATAACAGACTGCCTTTTAATTGAGAACTCTAATTTTATTTTATTGGTTTATTGGATTACAAGATAATAGGTGTGGTTAGACAGGAAATAAAATGTGTATTATGTTATATTATATTATATTATATTATATATTGAGAAATCTTATTTTATTTTTTGTTTAAATTTTTTATATTATTTATTATTTAATTTATTTATTTACTTTTTTATTTTTTGTTTTAATTAGTTATATTATTCATTATTTTATTTATTTATTTACTTATTTATTTAGAGCCACACAACATTAGGCTTACAAAGTGGAACCCTTAAACTGAACGCTTTTTGTGTGAAGTGCGAATTTCTTTGTATAACAGTGCAGTAAATTCCTGTCAAAAATTTTATCATTTTGCAAACATTATGGGAACATTCGTTTTGAATGTTATCTGAACATTCTGGAACAACTAGTAACATATAAGAAACGTTAGATGAATTTCCAACTGAAATGTTTAAAAAAATGTTCCATGAACAATTTATAAATAACATTTTTGAGAACATTATTAATGGCTAAATAGCTTTGAATTAATCTTCTATTAATGTTATTGTAAGAATGTTAGTTCATAACTTTGAGAGAACCTCACCAGAATGTTCTGAGAACATTTCCTGTTAGCTAGCTGGGTCATGTGGTTCAGATAATGAAGTTGTAAAGAAAGCTATATTAATAAATATATTGAAATTATGGTATACACATGTATGTGTTTGTGTCCAGGTTGGGGTAGCCAGAGTTCAAAGGTGCAGATCCATCATAACACCTGGCTGCACTTTCCCGGCCACAACCTGCGCTGGATCCTCACCTTCACACTGCTGTTTGTGCACGTGTGCGAGATCGCCGAGGGAATCGTCTCCAATACGTGGGTTTCAGCACACACACACACAC